CCAGTGGCCTTAGGTCCAGCTGGTTCCTGGACCCCGAATCAGGGATGACACCGTATGGAATCTCTGCCTTGGGATGAGAGGAGGAATGGAGTGGACAATGGTGGCCTTGGTCTCCTCAAGACTTGTCTCTAGGACAAGACGTTTTGTCTCTTGTGAGATTCCAAGTAGGTTCAAGGTATGGGGATCCAAGCCCATGAGAGCTGCCCAGGAACCTGTAGGGGGAATGGATATCCAACCTCCTGAGCTCATTAGCCCAAAGTAGATTTGGTGGTCAGTCATGGGCTGGCTCTACTGTCCAGCCGAGTGGCAGGGACAGGTTACTTCCCTAAGACTTGCACCCTTCCTGTGCCCTGGGCAGGTGCCACTGTTTGCAGTCTCACCCCAGGCTTGCTTCTCTGTGTCTGTGGGTGTGACGGCTCAAAGGCTGAGGAGTCACCCCGTGTCTTCCTTCCTTTAGAACACCAAACCTGAGTGACAACTCCCAGATTGCTCAGAAGGACAGAGTACCGTCTCCCCATTCCTGTGTCTGTCATAAGGGCATCTCCTCTGCCTGTCCTCCACATCCCATGCCTAGCTCATCCACCCACATCGCCTGTCAAATGCTCAGTTGGGAGGCTCTGACACTGTGGATCCGTCTCGGGAGCAGTTCAGGGGAGGCAGGGCCAATCCAGCCACCCACTCTGCTGCGACGCTGGACCCTCAGTTCAGACGCTCTCAACGCTACTTTCATGTGCTCGAAGACAACTCTGACTGCTGCTGTGACCACGAATCAAAGACTGGTTTTAAAATAAAGGTTTACTTGCATTCTGTCCCTAGGCCAACCTGCGCTGCTGGCTGCTGCTCACTGTCTTCTGAGAAAGACAAGGCTTTTGATCTTCATTTGCAGTGAATGCTCCTGGCGGGGGGGGGGGGGGGGGGGGGGGGGGGGGGGGGGCCAGAGGGTGGACAAATCAATGTGTCCTAGGAGAGAGGTGATGTGAGATATTGATGAGGTCTCGGGGGGGAGGCTGGGAGCAGCCTCGAGGACGGTCCCACTTCAGAGCCGCTCTGCCTCTGCACTGTTGACCCATAAATGTGGGTTATTTCTGCCTGTCTCCTGAAATGAAAACCAACCCCGGTTTCCAAAGGACACAACCCAGCAGCTGCCTTTTCATCTCAAGGTATCTGTGAACCCTTGGCTCCACTCCAGCCTGCCAGGGTCTTACCCCCACCATCCACTCTTCCTGCTGCAGCTCCCATGGGGCACATTTCCAGAGTCCCTGGACCAGTGGTCCTTCTAGCCGATATCAAAGTGCCACCGGGAGCTCTGCTGTGCTCTTCCAGGCTGTCCTTATTTGAGCTGCATTTTAGGGGCAAGTGTCCTGGATTTCTAGTCCCCAAGTAATACAACAAAAGGAACCACTAAGAAATAAAATTCTGGAGCTGGAGAGATGGCTCAGGGGTTAAGAGCACTGGCTGTTCTTACAGAGGACCCGGGTTCAATTCCCAGTATCCACATGGCAGCTCACAATTGTCTGTAACTCCAGTTCCAGGTGACCTGAGACCCTCACCTAGACATACACACAGGCAAAACATCAATGCACATAAAAGAAATAAAATTCTGCCAACTCTTCCAGCCAACAAAGGTGTCCTGAGCAGAAGGAGCACTCTGTCCAGAAGTCACAGGGAAGCCCAAACCTTGCTGCTTAAATTAACAAGAGAAATGAGGTGATTATGAAGCCAGCCAGGAGTGACCTTTTTTCTGCAGGCTTAGGTGACCGTGACTTTCCACATGGATAGTCAGGTCTACTGTGCACCTTCTGGGAATGGAGTGATTTTTGACACATTCTAAACATCCATGTCCCTTTCCCCTTTCCTCTGGGGGAGGCAGGCAGGGAGACGCTCTGCCAACCTCACTTGCTGAGCTGGGAAGAAAGGCCGGCTCACACCTCCCGCTGGCCTTTGCTGGCATACTCTCAGGTGTCCCGGATGGGTGGAGCAGCAGTGTGGTGTTACTTGTTCTGCTGTCTGGAAATGGAGCGCTGTGACACACACACCATGTCACACAGAACAGACAGGAAAAAGGACTCCTCTGATAAGGTACCAGCAAAGCAAGAGGAAGTTATAGCTCTTTAACCAGCAACTGGTGAAAGAGAGTATGGAGAGACACCTGGATCAAACAAGGTGAAGGTGTGGGTGGCAAGCCATGGGGATACGGACCGAATAGGATGAGAGGTGCAGCCCAAGTGCGGTGAGAAGTATGCCGACCACCTCATGGTCTGTAATGCACAGAGCCCTGCTCCTAGATCAAAGGGCAGCAGAGGACTGTGGTCTACTGAGCGGTGATTAGGGTCAGTGATAGTTCCAGTCTTCCAGAGGCACACACTGCCTGTCCTCCACACCCCACAGCCCCGCTCCACCATCCCCATAGCCTGTCGCAGGCTGTGACCCTGTAGATCTACAGGAGCAGTCCAGGGGCGACAGGGCCAACCCAGCCACCCACCCCTCCGCTGGTCAGTGACTCTGGGAGAGTCCCACAGATATGCCGAAGTAGCAGCCTCAAACAACCCTGTGACAATGCTGGCTCTAGACTCTCTGTCAGAGTCTACAATGTCACAGCCAAAGACTCACCCCTACCTCATCAGAGGGAGGCTAATACAAGACCCCCAGGACCCTAAGTAGCTCAGTGGCGGAGACCATGATACAGGCTGAGCCCTGACGATTTAAAATTTAATCATGTGGGGCTGAAGAGATGGCTCAGCAGTTAAGAGCATCAGCTGCTGCTCTTCCAGGACCTGGGTTCAATTCCCAGCACCCACAGGGTGGCTCACCCTAAGCTGCAGCTCCAGAGGATCCAATTGGTATTGCTTGCACGTGGTACACATACAGACATGCAGCCAAAACTCCCATACACATAAAATTAAAAATGAAAAAAACATTTTATTTTTAAAATTTAGTAATGCACATTTTACAAACAGTAAAAGTTAGAAGTATCTGTCCCCTGATAAAATTTCTGTTTCTGAGGCTCTGAGGCAAACACAATTTAGAAAATGTACTATACTGTATACATTCAGTGTCTGGTCTTTATCCAGGCCCCAAAGAAAAGTTAAGGACGTAATGGTTTAAGAGGCAGAGAGCAGGTCTCCACCCTCCTGACGAGACATCCAGGAAGCCCACCACCATCAGTTACAGAGCTGGAGAGAGGCTGAGCAGCTGACGTGCTTGCTGCACATCATGCACATGAAAGCCAGGCAGAAAGGGACACCTGTAATCCCAGCACTGGGAAGGCAGAGACCAGAGGAACCTTCGAGCTTGCTGGCCTGCAAATCTAGTCAGATTCAGTAAGAGACCCCATCTCAAAAAACGGTACACTGCTGGCAAGATGGCTCAGTGGGTAAAGGCAGGTTCTGCCAGGCCTGATGATTGTTAGAACCCACACAGCAGAGGGACAGAATTGACTCTAACAAGTTGTTCCTGACCTACACGTGTACCATGGAGCATATGTGTTTGTGGACATGCATGTGCAGACACAATCACAACTAAATAAATAAAAAATCAAATAAGATAGAAAGCAATTGAGGGCTGGGTGGTAGTGGCACACGCCTTTAATCCCAGCACTTGGGGAGCAAGTTCCAGGACCAGCTCCAAAGCTACAGAGAAACCCTGTCTCAAAAACAAAAAAGAAAAAAAGCAATTGAGGAAGACATACTAAGTCAACCCCTGGTCTCTGCATAATCATATGGACACATGTTATCATATGCACACATGAACACCAGTGGGCATACATACAAAAGTTTTAAACAAGTCAAGGGAGTAAATGGATTCCTCCCCAGGCCATGAGCAGACTTGAAGAGTTGGCTGATGCAGCAGATGGTACAGCCCTGAGATCTGTGATCCCAGGGAGTCCTGGAGGAAATCCACAAGCACACTCTTATGGAACCCTAGGACCCAAGCGTTAAGGGCTGGAGTTCAGGCCTCCACACCCCAGGATCAACGAGAAAAAGATGCCTCTTTTAGACCCTTCCTCTACTCAAGAGCTGTCCTACAAGATGGTTGGTAAACGGACACCAGAGCTAGGCTAGATGGCCAGGTCTGACTGACAACATTTCTGACGCTGCCAGAGATGTGCAGCTGAGCTGGCTTTCTTTCCTAAGCACTGATCAGCTTAAGAACCCAGCCTTCCCTTGATGACTGGCTTACATTTTCATTAATTCTTCACCAGACTTTATCTGTGTTGGACCAGGCTTAGCCTCTGAGCAATTAATTACCTCAGAGGCAAGCTATAAGGCAGCACACTTGGAAACTGAATCAGCTCCGTGTCTACTGGAAGCTGATGTAGCTCCTAATGCCCTATACACAGAATCCCCAAAGACAACACTCATGGCTTCACAGAAGCCAGCGGCCAACTCCCTTTCTACCTGAACTGCCAGACTTCTAGGTCCAAGGCCTGTGGCCTCAGGCCTTTGATCCCTTAGCTATTGCCTTGGATGGAGGCTGCCAAGTCCTGGCTCTCTCTTCTGTGGAGTCTAAATGGTCTTCTCTAAAAGATCTGTTTGCAGTTGTCACCTATTTTAATTTGTTTTTCAGTTCCTCTGACAGCTGTTCTGGCCAACAGTGGTCAAATAGGCCACTGCTATGCAGGGCTCTCCTGTAAGCACCGCTCAGTGCCCCCTTCCTCCCGACCCTGATTCCAGTCTTTCAGCCCCTCGGGAAGGGATGTGTCCTCCTCTAGGCTGCCGGTACCCTCTACAAATTCCTCATAGGTGGACTTCTCTGCAAAGGGCCGAGGGCCCAAGAGCTCTACCATGTCAGCCTTCTCCAGCACTTCTTTCTCCAGGAGTCGCCTGCTCACCTGAAAAGGAGAGCCTCCCATCAGGCTGCTGTGTCCAGGACGGGAATGTACTAGTGGTCCTGATCCAGGACAGAACCTAACCTAAGTAGGCCCACAAAGGTCATCATGGCCTGACCATATCCCAACCTGGAACCCACAACCTGGCTATGTCTGAGTGAAGCCCACTCACCTTCTCGACCTGCTCCCGGCACTGTGTGAGCAGTTCCAGGGTCCGATCGTAGGCAGACCTGACAAGGTGCCGGACCTCCTCATCAATGAGCTGGGCAGTGGCTTCACTGTACGGTTTCTCCACCATGGTCTCTCCTTGTCTGGGGAGGTCAAAGGATACCTGGCCCAGCTTCTCGCTCATTCCAAACTGAACAATCTGAAGTAGAGGAGGGGCCTCGGGTTGGCTGGGTCCACCCCAACTGACAGGGTCACACACTAGGACAGCGCCTTACCTGGGCATAGGCACTGTGGGTGACCTTCCTCAGGTCATCCTGAGCCCCTGTAGTGATCTGGCCAAAGAACAGCTGCTCAGCCACCCTGCCCCCCAGCATCATACACATGCGGTCGAAGAGCTGCTCCCGTGTGTAGAGGTATTGCTCGCGGGGAAGGTACTGAGCGTAGCCAAGCCCCTTGCCCCGAGGGATGATGGACACCTGAAAGATAAGAGCCTGGAGCTGGAGAAATGGGTCCTGGACATGAGCGTGGATTGCTCTTGCAGAAAACCACAGTTCAGTTCCCAGCAGTCACACTGAGGGGCTTACAACCATCTTGTAACTCCAGCCCCCCTTCAGGTCTCTAAGGACTGTACTCATGTGTGCAACCCTCCCCCCACACACACACTTAAAAACACAGGCTAGGGAGATGGCTAACAGTGAACACAGCCTAGGGAGATGGCTAACAGTGAACACAGCCTAGGGAGATGGCTAACAGAGAAGACACACAGGCTGGAGAGATGGCTAACAGTGAAGATACACAGGCTAGGGAGATGGCTAACAGTGAAGACACAAAGGCTGGAGAGATGGCTAACAGGGAAGACACACAGGCTGGAGAGATGGCTAACAGTGAAGACACACAGGCTGGAGAGATGGCTAACAGGGAAGAGCAGTTGTTGCTTTTGTAACAAATGGACCCAAGTTCAGTTCCCACCACCCATACAGTGGCTCACAACCATCTATAACTCCAGGCCTGATCAGATGCACACCCCGCTTCAGGACCCTGTGAGGACTGCATACAATCCTACACAACACACACACTCTCTCTCTCTTAAATGGACCCAGGTTCAGTTCCCAGCACCCACAACCACCTGCAACTCTGTATGTTGGATTCAGGCATCTAACATTCTTCTGCTGAAGTCACCTGGTGCACATAAACATACATGCAAACCACTCATAAACATAAATCTTTAAAAAAATGAAAATTAATCTTAAAAAAGAATTCAAAGTCTTGTCTTTGTCAGCCTCAAACACTGTTTCACCAGGTGCTGCACTGGTGACTGAGAGAGGCAGGAGAAAGGCCCTGAGCTTGAGCCACTGAAGACCAATGCTCCCCGAGGAGCACACTCACACCAACAGCCTCAGGGTCCGACTGTCCCAGAGGCTCTGCAGGAACTGAATGCATAATCAGTCCAATAAGAGTCAGACCCAGAGCTTATGATGTCAGCAAGACCCACCTAGAGCTTGCTCTGCTTCCCCACCCCAAAAAGAACCAGACAAATTATAGACCAACATACTCCTTGAAAAGTAAAAAGGGGGCTGGTGAGATGGCTCAGATGGTAAAGGCACTTACCACCAAGGGTTATGACCTGAGTTTAATCCCCAGAATCCATATAATGGATTCTAACATCTGACCATCATACATGTGCACGCATACACGCACACACACACGCATGCACATGCACCTATATTCACATACACACACACACACACACACACTCTCTCTCTCTCTCTCTCTCTCTCTCTCTGCCTCTCTCTCTCTCTCTCTCTCTCTCTCTCTCTCTCTCTCTCTCTCTCTCAAAAACAGAGAAAAGAAAGTAAAAGGTCATGTTTACAAGTGTGCTGATACCTGGGAAGCCAGAGATGGCACCTGGGCCTAGAGGCACTCGAGACACTGACCTTCAGCAGAGGGTCTGCATGTTCCAGGAACCAGCCCACCACTGCATGCCCTGCCTCATGGTAGGCGACAGTCGTCTTTTCACTGGGTTGTAGGACCTGGGTCTTCTTCTCAAGGCCTACAAACCACAATCCAAGGAGTGAGAAACAGGGGAAGAATGTCCACCTGCAACCCCCCAAGGTCACCGGACAGTCTGGACCAACTGCCATACCCCAGGCCTCGTCGGGAACCTGTCCCTCCCTCTCTAGCACAGTTGACTGTATACAACTCAGAAGACAGCGAAAGCTCCTAGGAGAGCCCTCGTTCTAAATTTTGGTTCAAAAAAATCAATTGTGTTTTCTCCATGCTGAAATGAGCCTAGGCTATCCAAAAAATGTCTGCCCAGGGAATGTGGGCTCACCTCCAATGACCCTCTCGATGGCTTGCTCAAAGTGCTTCTCCTGAACAGAAGGGCTAAGATGGCGGGCAGCAATCAGTGCTGCTTCGTTGCACACATTGGAAATATCAGCACCTGGGTCGGGAAAAGGAAGTAAAGTCAGTGTTTCTGGCTGTTGGAGTCCTACCAAAATCAACTTCATTAAATGAAAATCACAAGCAGCAGCCAGGTTAAACTTCAGCAGAAAATCTAGTAGAAATTATTTCACCAGCCACTATAACTTTAGCTAAAGTTTCTGGTTAGTTATACAATTTTATTGATAAATAATCCATGTGTCATAAAGGAATATGCAATATTAGCTCTTAGTAACTTGGACAGTAACTTGAAAGACTCTACAATTGCCTGAAACACAGATCTCTGGACATGGTGGTGGTTTGAATGAGAAGGGCCCCCATAGGCTCGTATGTTTGAACACCTGGTCCACAATGGGTAGAACCATTTGGGAAGGATTTAGGAGGTGTGGCTTTGTTGGAGGAGGTGTGTCACTGGGAGTTGGGATTTGAGGTTTCAATACAGCCCATACCATTCGCAGACAGCTCTCTCTGCTTCCAACTGTGGTTTAAAATGTGAGCTCCCGGCTCTCTCCTGCTGCCGTGCCTTCACTCTACCATCAGGACTCTAACACTCTAAAACCATATGCTCAATTAAATGCTCTGGTCATGGTGCTTTATCCAGCAATAGAAAGCAGCTAAGACAGCACATGAGAACTGTCATGGTTGTGCCAACTGCTGTCATCTTAACTGTGGGAAGGAGCTGGGCACTAACATGTGTGTGCTCACTGATCTCCATTCCTAGATGGGGTGTAACCAGCTCCCTCAAGCTCCTGTCATCGTGACTCCCCATCACAGTGGACTGGAACCTGGAACTCTGAGCCTTTTTGAAACCCACTCTCCCTTAGGTTACTTAGGTTCTGTATCAGAGCAACAGGAAAAGAAACTGAGACACCAGAGTTGTCAACTACGGCCCTGATCTAACACACCTTCCATCATCTGAGACATCTTGTGCCTTTATACTTAACTCCTATCCCGACGCCAATCAGCTACTAGTCTGTTTTCACCTCTGTGGACTTGAATTTTCTGCATCTCTGCTGAACCCCCACACCTCATGGGAAAAGGAGTCATATAAGATGTGGCTTTTTAGGACTGGCTTCTTTCTTTGAGCATTATTTTTAGACTTATCTATGCTATAGTGTGTATCAGTGTCTCAATATATGTAATATACATCACATGTGTGCTTGGTGCTCAGGGAGACCAGAACTGGAGTAGTGGTTGTGAGTGACCATGTGGGTGCTGGGGACAAGCAACCCAGGTCCTCCGCAAGAGCGAGTATTCCTATAATCCGAGCCATCTTCCTAGCCCCTAGGAGCTCATTCCTTTTTCAGCTGAAAATTGTTGTATAGTATATACCATAGACTGCCGATCTGATCTACTCATCCATTGCTGGAAACTTGACTGAGTTCATGTAGGAATGGGTCAGAGTTACTGAGGAGTGGCCAGTCTACCCTACAGTAGAAGTGTTGAACTCTCTTGCTGACTCCTCCAAAATGAAAATCCTCATAGGGAAATCTAAAGCCTGGGTAGTAAGTGAACACCTGAACTCTGCAAGGGGTAAAAAAAAAAATGGGACAGGAAGGACACTCCAGGCAGAATACCAAGAAGGCCCGTCATGTTAGCCTGGAAAGAACGTCCCACCACTACACCACAGACAAATGCATACTGTGTGTAAACACGCCTGGCCCGGGGCTGAGCAGGATGCTATAGGTAAGCAGAATGAGGACGCTCCACTGCCAAACGACCTATATGGCCGAAGACCATATAGAAGACCAGTAAACAGCTTGCTACAGTAACCATGAGGCAACTGAGGTTTCCAAAGGGTTGCTATGGAGAGGCAAATAGGGCAGAAAACCCACTCCATAGGTTCCCACCCACTGCTGGGGTTTACACCACTCTGGCAGGGAAACAAGAATCCTAGCCCAGAGATGAGGTTTTGAAAAAGGAAACGCCACATCCACTCCAGATGCAAATGTGGTGATTCAACTCTTCAGGGATCACCCTCAGACATGACTTTTACTTCTGTAGTAAAGACTTACGTCTAAACAGAAATCCACAAACTCACATGGGTACCAGTAGGTTTTAGGTTAAGAAGATCTGAAGCCTCTGAATGTTCCAGGAGGGTCAAAGTTCTACACACCAGGGTGACTAGGACCAAAAGAGCAGGTGTGACAATCACCAGTCACTACAGACCAATGGATGCACTTGGCCCCTGCTAAGATGAGCGGCTCAGAAACAAACACTTACCAGTGAAACCCGGAGTAAGAGCGGCTAGTTTCCGCGAAAGAGCATCTTTGGTGAGGCTTTCATCTAGCTTGAGAGGACGCAAGTGAACCTTGAAAATAGAGGACCTGCCTTTGATATCAGGGGGACCTAATAAAGAAAATGAGACAAACAAAATTACGTTCTCAGAGCTTTTGGGACACATTTCCCTGAATCTACTTCGCAAAACTTCCAGGATAATTAGCAGAACTCCCTGCCTGCAGCAAGGTTGAAACAGGAAAAGAAAGAAGGAAGGAAGGAAGGAAGGAAGGAAGGAAGGAAGGAAGGAAGGAAGGAAGGAAGGAAGGAAGGAAGGAAGGAAAGAAAGGGTACTTCTACTGGACAATGCCATATATCAAAACACCTTCTAAGCAGGGCAGTGGTGGCACACACCTTTAATCCCAGCACTTGCGAGGCAGAGACAGGCAAATCTCTGTGAGCTTGAGGTCAGTCTGATCTACAGACCGAGTTCTAAGACAGACTGCAAAGCTACACAGAGAAACCCTGTCTCGAAAAAAAAACAAAACAACAACAACAACAAAAAAAAAACACCCCACCTTCTTGGACTAGGTATGTAGCTCACTGGGTAGAGTTAGCATGAACAAGGTTCAATCACCACTAGCAAATAAACACACACACTCTACATGCACAGACCTACCTTCTTAATCAATATTAAGTCTATTCCCCCAAGGCCATGTAACCCAATAGGCCTAAAGCATCATGGTTTTATAAAGTTGTATGAAAATAAAATCTGGAGAATAGAAATAGGCTATACTGGCCTTACCTGTATTCACTACAAGGGCATTTGGACAGCCAAACCACATCTATTGTTCCCAAAATGTGGACTGTCAGACAGAACCCAGTATCAGCATCTCCAAAAGCACAGCCAGTGAGTTACCCAAACCTTTAACCTCAGGGGCTGAGATTCAAACCCAAGTACCTACAGGACAGACACTCACCAATGTAGATCTGGCGGTCAAACCGGCCAGGCCGCATCAGGGCTGGGTCAAGGATATCAGGGCGATTGGTGCCAGCTAGCACTACCACATTAGTGGTAGAGTTGAAGCCTAAACACAAGATACGGTAGTTAACTTGAGGAAGGCCCAGGCAACAACAGAATCCCCATGCTCGCTGTACTTCCCTTCTGCTTGCCCCACATCCTGCTGTAAGCGCCACAAAACAGGCATGAGGCCCTGCCCAGCTGCCTAGGGGCCCAGGCTCGTCCCAGTCTAGGAAAGACAATACACAAAAGCCTGACCTCTGCTCTAAGCTCTCACTATTACCTTCTGCTCTGAGTAAGGTACATTTCTACCGGTGGGAAAGCAGACCTCTTCTCAGCACAGGGAGCCCTGGAACCCGAGACAAGGATGTGAGATAAGCCACAACAGGCGGAGTCTCTGCACTGCTGGATCCTGCTACTCTGACACCATCTTGCCAGGGCTCACTGCCTCCTTCTACCCAAGTCCTTGTGGGCTTGAGGGATGCATCAAGCACAGCCAGGTGATGGCAAGCAAGGACCACTCATCCAAGGGAGCCCATGGGATGACGGTTAGGTGTGCACGTGTCTCTTTTCCTGTCAGTCCCCGCCATCATCCAGTGAGGAGCTCTATGTGAAACGAACACTGATTTCTCTCTCATATTTGCTTGAGAGCATCCTTTTTGAAAATCAGAACACATCAGCCAGACACAGTAGTGCATGCCTGTAATCCCAGCACTCAGGAGATGAGGGCGGGAAGAACCAGAGCTCTAAGTCAGGCTGAACAGTGAGAGAGAAGAATGAATACATATTCCTGTGGGAACTGTGGAAACTGAGTCCCCGCAGACCTGCCACAGTGTGTGCTCACCATCCATCTCCACCAGCATCTGGTTTAAAGTGTTCTCCTGCTCACTCTGGCCTCCCAGGTGACCACGACCTCGCTTCCTGCCAATTGCATCAATCTCATCAATGAATAAAATACAAGGAGCATTTTTCCGGGCCATTGCAAACATGTCACGAACCTGCAAAAAGAAGCCAGACCCTATTTTGTTACTTACATTCCTATCACACAGAAGAATAGTTCACTCTTAGCCCTCCCTTTGAGACATCGGTACCTCCCTGATGTGGTACACACAGAGCCGATAGCTACACAAGATAACCAATCCTGGACAAGTGTGCTGGCACCTTCTACAGTTGCTTATCCAGCCACCTACCCGTGCTGGCCCAACACCAACGAACATTTCCAGGAACTCCGACCCATTCACAGTGATGAAGGGCACATTGGCCTCCCCAGCAGTTGCTTTTGCAAGAAGTGTTTTGCCAGTACCAGGTGGACCAGTAAGCATTGCTCCCTGCAAGAGAAAGGGACACCTAGTTCTCCACAAGGACAAACAGCACACTGGGAACAGCCCAGTTTCTACTTAGATCTAAAAAAGTAAGTTTCCTAACAAACACATACAAGCAACTTTTAGAACAAGAGTCTCATCAAATCTACCACTTTTAGAGCCTAAGATTTCTAGAAAATCTTTTCTCCTTAAAAAAAAAAAAATAACGCACATGATTAGAGAAATGGCTCAGAAGAGGTGAGGTACCATGAACGCACCAAGATCTGAGTTCAATTTCTGTAGCCAATATAAAAGACCAGGCACAAAGAAAACCACATTTGTAATCATAGTATTAGGAGGGCAGAACAGGCTGATTCCCATGAGCTCACTGGCCAATAAGCCTTGCCTACTCACAAGCTACAGACCAATGGAAAACATATCTCAAAACACAAGGCAGAGGACTCCTGAGAAATGACGCCTACCACCTCCCCATCCACACACACACCTGCATGTTCACACATGAATACATATGTATAACACACAATTAACACACTCACTGTAGTTTACACACAGCTACAACCTCTAAGAAGGAAACTCCCAGAACCAGATCCTCACATGGAGAAGCTGTCTTCCACTGGCTTGAAGGACCAGAATGCTTTTCTTTTTTCTTTTCTTTTCTTTTCTTTTCTGGGTTTGTTGTTTGTTTTGTTTTTTGTTTTTTGAGACAGGGTTTCTCTGTGTAGCCCAGGCTGTCCTGGAACTCACTCTGTAGACCAGGCTGGCCTCAAACTCAGAGAGATCCGCCTGCCTCTGCCTCCTGAGTGCTAGGATTAAGGGCGTGCGTCACCACCTCCTGACTCAGAGTGCTTTCCTTGATGATCATTGACAACGTGCTACCTAACACAGCGGTACCAATCTGATGATCATTGACAACGTGCTACCTAACACAGCGGTACCAATCTGATGATTATTGACAACGTGCTCCCTAACACAGCAGTACCAGTCTGCACAGCCGCCCAGGAGGTGGCCAGCTTCACAGCCTTTCTGGTTTGAAGCGTGGACACAACTCATTTTGGGGGGCTCCATCAGTTGTTCAGGCCAGGCACCTGAGAACCTGAGTGTGATCCCCAGAATTCATGTAAAGTCAGGCACAACAGCAGCGCTCCTACATAAGAGAGCAGAGGCAGGAATATCCCCAGAAACCGTAGCTGGGATACACAGCAGCAAACAGCAAGCATCCTGTCTCAAACAAAGTGGAACGTGAGATGTCCTATGACCTACACACCTGCTGTGGTGCAGCACACTGCTGCTCAGTGCTCTGTCACCAGAAGAGTCTTCAGGAAGAGGGAACCTCAGCTGAGAAAATGCTTCCATTAGACTGGCCTTCAGACAAGTTTGTGGAGTGTGTCCTTGATTGACAATTGGTATGGGAGGGCCTAGTCCACTGTGGGTGGTGCTACCTCTGGGCAAACAGTCCCAGGTTATATAAAGAAGCAGGCTGAGTAAGGCATGGGGAGTAAGTCAGTAAGCAGCACTCCTCCATGGCTTCTACTTCCAGGTACCTGCCGGGCTCAAGCTCTGCCCTGAGTCTTCATTAACTGTTACTTGGAGTCCAAGATGAAATAAACTCTTTCCTTCCCCAGGATGCTTTAGGCTGCATGTTCATCACAGCAATAGAATCTAAACTAAGACACGTACATGCCTATACTCACATGTATGAGCAGATATTTGGAGAAAAAAAAAAAGATAACAATTCACATCTTTATAACACACCTTTGTTATAATTTTATGAACTATTATGCCTGAAAATTAAAATGATTTTTCAAAAAAGATATTATATTTATTTATTTATGTTAGGAAGTGGAGTTGGCAGACATGAGGATGCCAGAGAACAACTTGCAAGAGTCAGTTCTCTTCTTCCACCCTGTAAAAGTGGCAGTGGGCACAGGGAATAGAACTCGGGATGTTTCCGGGTGGTGGTGGGTCACACCTTCAATTCCAGCCACAAGGGAGGGCAGAGATGGATTGATCTCTGAGAGTTCAAGGTCAATCTGGTCAACAGAGCTAGTTCCAGGATAGACAGGGCCACACAGAGAACCCTGCCTAGGGGGGTGGGGGTGGGGGTCAGGCTGTCAGGTTTGGTGGCACAGTTCCTTCACCACAGAGCCGCCACCACACCCAGTTTAATGTATGTGTTTTTTACTGTACACACGTGGACATGTACAAGCCACTGTACACATGTGGAGGTCAAAGGACAACTCACAGAAGGTGGCTCTCTCTTTTTACCTATATATGAATCCCAGGGACCAAACCTGGCTCCCCAGGCTTGGGGGTAGGTACCTGCCTTTACCAGCATTTCTGTTGGGCTCATGCCTTTAATGCCAGCATTTGGGAGGCAGAGGCAGGCAGCTCTCAGCCTGCTCTACAAAGTGGGTCTCAGGCCAGCTAGGGCTACACAGTGAGACCCTGTCCCAACAACAAATCTTGTGTCTAGAGCTCAGAGTGTGGACTGCCATCAGGTCACTGCAGATAATGAGAGCATAACACTAAAAACAAACAACAGATGTGGGGTTTTTGAGACAGTGTCGCTCAGTCACAGCACAGGCTGGCCATGAACTCACGATGTGGCCTAGACTAGCTTTGAACCCTCCCGAGTCCTCCTACCTCGGCCAACCAAGTGCTAGACAGGCTGAGCCATCTGAGGCCTTTTAATGCCCTGCACCGCAGGCGCTGTCTCCATCCTCACTGTGTGATCGGCAGAAACACACACCACAGCAATCCGTACTTCACCTTGCAGCCTAGAGTGCATCACTGTTTCCTAAAACCGGTACCTTTGGGATTTTGGCTCCTAAGTCCTGATATTGCTTTGGGTTCTTCAGGAAATTCACAAATTCCATAATTTCCAACTTGGCTTCTTCACAGCCAGCCACATCGGCGAACTTCACATCAATGTTGTTTTTTAAGATCTTGGCTGTTGTCTCACCAACACTGAAGAGGCCTCCTCCTCGCCCGCCACGACCAGTCCCCATTGGACCCCTCCTCATAGCATAGAGGAGGATGCTAACCAGGACCAGGGTGGGCACCAGGCTTCGGAGAAGAGAGCTGCAAAAATTCAAGAAAATCATTTGTTACATTCGCTTAAGAAAAAGGTCAGAGCCAGGCGATGGTGGCACACACCTTTAATCCCAGCACTCGGGAGGCAGAGGCAGGTGGATCTCTGCGAGTTCGAGACCAGCCTGGTCTACAGAGCTAGTTCCAGGACAGGCTCCAAAGCCACAAAGAAACCCTGTTTCAAAAAACCAAAAAAAAAAAAAAAAGAAAAAAGAAAAAGGTCAGAAGTTCCACTGTCACCCAAAAAGAGCAAATCGCTCTAAAACTTTCGCTGCATACGAAAAGGGGCCGTTTCTAGAATGTCCCGAAGTCAAGTCCTAATGACACTGAATCTGCCCTGACCCACCCAGCACAGGGCTTGGATTCTGACCAAATAGGTCTGGCAGAACCTTAGCTATAACTTTCCTCAGAAGACTCTGGTTCAGTAAAGATATCAATACCCAATGTGTTTATCTTTCCTACATACTTTTTAGAGGCCTGACATTCTCTTTGCAATAAACAGACTCAAGCCAGTGCCATGGTGTATACTCGGGAAGTCGAGACAGGAGAATCACTTAAACCTAGGAGTTGAGACTTGGATGGCTAAAAGATTGAGGCCATCTCAAAAAAAAAAAAAAATCAAAATATTCCTTTAGTATTGATAGTGTAAGCATTAGCAGATGCCTATAATATGTTTTAAAAAAAAACACACCCCAAAATAGGTTAAGCACTAAATTTTTTTGTTTTAATAATCAGATGTCCTAGGTCTATTATACAGAGAAACCCTGTCTCAAAAAAACAAAGAAACAAAGATTCAGATGTCCTGCATTAGTCTCCAAGGACCTCCAGAGCCCTAGACTCACCCATCACTCTCTGTAGTATAGACTACCGCAGCCTGGTTGGTGGGCTCAATCCCCAGCTCCCACTGAGCGGACTCGAGGTTCCTCTCAAAGGTGTCAACACTGCCAATGTTAAACCACACAAACTTCTGCAGAGACCAAAAGGAAGCTTAGGTTTACCGTGTGTCCCACAGAGAACCGCCGACACACTCACCCACATCTGTGTTCCCCAGAACAGCTCCTCCCCCTGGCTCTGACAGACAGACATGCACAATCCCTTCCTGAAGCTGGCTCCACGGGGAAGGAGGCAAACAGTAGCTCATTTGGTTCCAGCACAAACTTCAGGGTTTTAAGTTCTGGACAAAGTATGAAATGTTGCAACAATAACCAAAGTCTCCCTTCATCTTTTTATTCTTTTTTAACAAATTTTGGCAAGTAGTTTTTACATATTACTTGACAAAAATTATTTATAGTTTATATAATAGTTTATATTTATAAAGGTTTCCTGTATTAGCCATTATCAATTTAAGACAATGAGAGAAACCGTATTATTAAAATTTTTTTTTAATTATTTTTATCTTTTGTTGCTGGGCAGTAGTGGTGCATGTCTTTAATCAGGAAGTAGAAGCAGGCAAATTTCTGTGAGTTTAAGGCCAGCCAGGTCTACTGAGTGAGTTCCAGGATAGCCAGTTGTTACACAGAGAAGCCCTGTCTCAAAAGACCAAAGGAATTAAAATAAAATAAAAATAAATTACTTTTTGTGAATAGGCATTTGCCCGCATGTCTGTGTGCTATATGCAAGCCTAGTGGGGGCTGGAAGGCGGGAAGAGAGCAACAGACTCCTCAGAACTGGAGTTAGGAATGCTTCTGAGCCTCCACACGGGTGTTTGCAATCAACCCGCGTCCTCGAGAAGCCATCTCTCCAGCCCAAACCATTATATGTAACATGGACTGCTGGACAACGGGGAAGGTATTTTACTGAATAGACAACTATAGATTATTATTCTTAAAATGATAAATCAAGGACTGGGGAGAAGACTCAGAGTAAGAACATGAACTGCTCCTGCAGGGGACCAAAGTTGGTTCCCAGCTCTCAAGTCAGGAGGTTCCTAACTCCAAGGGGATCTAATACCTGTATTCATATGCTCATACCCATACACACAATCTAAAACGATGAAAATAAAATCTTTAAAAAAAAAAAGTGATCTGGTGTGGCAACACACGCCTTTAATCCCAGCACTTGGGAAACAGGCAGGCAGAGCTACGAGTTCTAGGCCAGCCTGGTCTACAGAGTATTCAGTGAGAGTGTCTCAAAAAACAAACACACAAACAAAAGATATGGGGACGCTTGACCTTAAATCGACCCCTCACCTCGGACGTCGTCCCAGGGACAGGAATAACACGCACAAATTGCTTGTTCACAACCTCCAGCCGATCCACCTTGGAAAAAGAGAAAAGCAGTCGTAACAGCTGAGGCAGTAAGGACATTCAAGCCAACCCCGAGCAGTATAGTCACGGGCACACCCAATCCTAAGGACAACACATCCTCCCCTACCAGCTGCAGCCCAGTCTAACTAAGCGTTAGTTTCTTGCTCTCTTGGATCTATAAGCTTGGGGCATGAATCTACCTCATTTTAATAAAGAACTCAACAAGTCTCTCGAAATTGAACTCCACACTAGATTATCTTAAAACCCTAAATATAATACAAGTCAGCCTTATACTGACAACAGAGTACAATCTCTGTTAGAACACGATGTGTATGAATTCGGATGAACATGCCACCATGTGTGGGCATGAAGACAGCTTCGGGGGCCAGTGCCCCCCTCCACCCTCCGCACGTTCTGGACAGTGTCCTTGCTTTTCCAATGCATGTTCCAGGCTACCTGACCCACAAGCTCCCAGGGGTTCTCCTCTCCACTTCCCATCTCCCCACAGGTGCACAAAGATCATAGACATTCTTGCAATGCATCCAACTTTTCTGTGGGTTCTGGGGATTTGAACTGAAATCCTTACTTGTGCAGTGAGTGTCTGCACCCACCAAGTCATCTCTCATACACGATACAATACAGTCTTGAGTACAGATCTGATTCAGAAACATTTGTCCACCACAAGAAAAACCAATGTCAATAAGAACAACAGCAGTCCCAGAGGCTCATGCGCTACCAGCAGCTGTACAATAGACTGATATATGCCTCTAAGAAACAGAAAAAGAGAAAAGAAAATAAACAGGCACACCTATAATCCAGTTCTCAAAAAACAGGAGCGTTGCTGCAAATTCAAGGCCAGATTGGGCAGCAGAGGGCAATCTAGTCTCAAAAACAAAAACCAGAAAGGAAACCACAACTTGATAACAATTCACTGTGTAAATATGATGACACAGTATTGTTCTGCTTGGTCAATTTGTTTGTAAAATTTATTTTTATTTATGTGTACACGTCTGTGTGTCTGCCACATGTGTACGGGTGCCCACATAGGCCATCAGACATCCCAGTGCAGCAGCTGTCCCCACTACTCTTAGGGGAGCCACCAAGAACCTCTCACAAGATAGGGTCTCACAGGCTGGAGAGATGGCTCAGCGGTTAAGAGCATTGCCTGCTCTTCTAGAGGTCCTGAGTTCAATTCCCAGCAACCACATGGTGGCTCACAACCATCTGTAATGAGGTCTGGACTGCAGGCATACATGAACACAGAATATTATATAGATAATAAATGAATAAATATTAAAAAAAAAAAAAGATAAGGGTCTCACAAGTTCAGGGCTGACCAGCAAGGACAAGGGGTACAATGGAGGAGAAAAAAAAGAGTTTTGAATCAGACATGAGACTGAAATTCAAAGAATGATGGATATAGCCAAATTTCAAAAGACAAGCTAATTTTTTATCTTTTGAGATTGCCAGAACGTGGTATTAAGGCAGCTTCCACCCGACCAGAAAGTGGGCCTGACCCTGTTCTGCTGGAGCTGTTCCTGTGCCCAGCTGGGTTGCTCAGCACGCATCACACAGTAGCCTGACTCTCAGCTCCTTCAGGGTACTGTGAACCCCCTGAATAGCACCCTCTTTCCCCAGAGACAGTCTAGAGATCTCCTTACCAGACCTCTGGCGAGGTAATACTGCACAAAGTGCTTCCAGGTGATCTCTTTTCCAGGATCTCGAAAATAGAAATATAAAAATCCCACAGCCACGCCTGCCCCCAGAACAGCCAGACTCCGGAAATCCTTGTCATCCCACGGAAACTCCCCCTACGGAAGAAAAGACAACACATTTTCTAGTTAGGCGACAAATCAGGTGGCTTCATGTCTGGCTTAAAATTTTCCTGTTTCATCTTTTTTTACAGGCATGTGAGTGTCCCCAGGAAAAGGGATGCTCATGTGTGTGTCCCCGGGAAAAGGGATGCTCATGTGTGTGTCCCCGGGAAAAGGGATGCTCATGTGTGTGTCTCTGGGAAAAGGCATGCTCATGTGTGTGTCCCCGGGAAAAGAGATGCTCATGTGTGTGTCCCCAGGAAAAGGGATGCTCATGGATGTGTGTATCCCCAGGAAAAGGGATGGTCATGGCCAGGAGAGGGAGTTTGGTTGCACAGAACTGCAGCTCCAGGCAGTTGTAAGCCAAACGGGGATCCTCTGAACACCATGAAAACGACCATTTCTTTATGAAAATGGAAATTTCTCTTTTCAGTATGTAGCCCTGGCTGGCCTAGGACTCTCTATAAAGACCAGTCCAGCCTCAGTGTCACAGAGCTCTGCCTGCCTCTGCCTTTGGAGTATTAGGATTGAAGGCATGTGCCACCAGGCATGGAAGAAGAGTCTTACCTTGGATTCTAAGTCTTGACACACATTTTTAAAAATTTCTTAGACTCTTTGAACTGTCTAGGTCCCTTAAAAACCCACCCTGGAAATCAATACCAACAGTGAAAGCATTAAAGAGGAGGGGCTTCAGGAAATGATGAAGTCATGTGGGGCCCGTCTCCATGTATGGAATTTGTGTGCTAACACAATTGATTAAAGGTGGATTTTGTTCCTTCTTGTCATATAAGGATACAGTGTTGCTCCTCTACGGACAGAGCAGCATACAAGACACCATGAGTGGAGACCTGACAACAGAGACCGAAGCTTCTACAAGTACTGGGCACACCAGCACTCTGACCACACTCTGTCCAGCCTCTTCAACTGCGAATAAACACACACTAGTTACAAATTACACAGTAGAAGCTGGGCACAGTAGTGCACATCTGTAATTCCAACACTCAGAGGCAGAGACAGGAGGTTCACCACAAGCCTAGGCCAGCCAAGGTTACATAGGAGACCCTGTCTCAAAACAGTCAAAACAAAAAAAATAAATAAATCAACTTATCCAGTGATTTTTTTCCAAGAGCAGGAATAAAATAAGAAAAAGACCACAGAAAGCCTTAGCTCTGTAGCAACCACACCCTCGACAAGTGACAGACGTCTGGCCCTGGTCTTTAGATACACACAAACCTTCTGCATCCGCTTCCACCAGGCAAAGCCATCTTGCTTCCCTCCTCTCTTGCCTCCATCTCCTCCAGGCCCAGTGTTCTTTGGTTCTACAGTTTCTGAGATTAAAAAAAAGAAAGAAAGAAAGAAAAGACATATTACAACAGAAAAGAAGTATATATAATTTTCCAGAGAAGAATTCAAAACACAGAAAAGGAGTTAGGGAGGTAGCTCAGTCAGTTATGTGCCGGCTGTGTAACCATGAGAGTCTGAGTTCAAGTCTCCGGCACCCACGTTAAAAGACAGGCACAGTGACATGCATTCCTGCAGACTCGGTGCTACAGCAGCAGAGGCAGGAGGATCCCTGAGGGTCTGGTAAGCCGGTCTAGTCCGCCTAGCAAGTTCCAGTTCAGAAGAGAGCCTGCTTCAAAAACTAAGGTGGAGGGAGGGCTAGTGAGATGGTTCATTTGCCACCAAGCATGAGAACCTGAGTTCCATCCCTGAAGTACAAGTGATGGACGGAAAGAACCAAGGCTTACAAGTGCCCTTTCACCTCCACATGTGCTCAGTGGTGTGTGCTCAGTGGTGTGCGCATGTGTGTAAATCAAACTCGAATAAATGTAGTTTAAAAATTAAAGTGGTGTGAATAAGGAAGACATCCAATATTGACCTCTAGCCTACAAACACATGCACATACATGCATAATGCATACAAATTGGCATACCAATAAATAAATAAATAAGTAACAGAAAAAAGAGGAAGCTGGGAGATACTGCTGAATAGCAGCCTCGGATACATACAAAAAATCACTTAAATTTTAGCTTGTGGGTTTCAAATATAAGTTTTGTTTTTTTTTTTTTTTTTGAGTCAGGGCTTCATTACGTAGGCCAGGCTAACTCAGAACCTGCAATCCTCCTGCCTCAGCTCCCTATGATTATGTATCACCATATAGGCAGGCCTAAATTTTAACAGGTTTTTCTTTTGGAGGGGGAGGGTAAGAATAGCATGGCTGTAGTAACCTGGACGGGAAAAAGTGAGGCAGGCTGACACCGCACATCCCTTCTCAAGAGAATCAGGATGCACGGTACCCGCTCTCAGGAACAGCACATCACTATGCAGAAAAACCTGCCGTGTGTATGTCGTTTCCCTTCTTTTGGCGTCAGGGTCTTACTACAAAGCTCTGGCTGTCTTGGAACTCATGAGAATAGACCAGGCTGGCCTCAAACTCACAGAGGTCTACCTGCCTCTACCTCCCAAGTGTTGGAATTAAAGGCGCACCACTATGCCTAGCCATGTGTACACTTTTGACCTACGGACTATAACAGGATGTGGAGTTCCCTGAGCCTCTTTTTGAGATATTCATACAAGTTGTAGGTCAGAACAAGTTCTCTACATATTGCCTCCAACAAGCCTAAAACCATATCATGCACGTCCAAAAAAGGCTACCAGAAATGGAAACATGAATTAATGAGACAGAGAAATATTAACACCATTATAGACAAAACATGAGTTTTGAAAAATGGTAGCAAGATGTACCACCGTTCCTCCTAATTAGCTTATATGTTTCTAACTATTTAACGCTCACAGGCACCTAAGCTGGTGAAACACACCTGTTAAACCTATCCAAATCACCAAACTGAGATGCAACTTAAGAATGACTCACAGAGGTCGGAGAGCAACTCAGTAGTTAAGAGCACTGGATACTTTTAGACAGGACCCAGGTTTGATTCCCAGCTCTTCCAAGGTGGCTCACAACTATCTGTAACTTCATTTCCAGAGTATCTGACATCTTCCTCTGCCCCTTCCAACAGACGTACACATGTCATACATGAACAAAAGCCACCCAAACACATTAAATAAAATAAAATTAAAAAAATTAAAAAAATTTTAAAGCCAGGCAGTCCTGGTACTTGCCTTTAATCCTAGCACTAGGGAGGCAGAGGCAGGGAGATCTCTGAGTATAAGGCCAGTCTGGTCTACAGAGCAAGTTCCAGGACAGCCAGGGCTACACAAAGAAAAGTTATCTTGGAAAAAAAAAATTCATCAAGGCTTAGAGCTAATCATCCAATCCAAATAAGCTAAGAAAATTATGAGAAACAAGACACAGTGACTTAGGAACAAGGAATTAAGATCAACTTCATACAGTCACATGTTCTTCCCGCTTTCCCCTCCTCAAGGAGATAAACCATCAGTCAGTAATTTATAATAACACTCAAACATGTTGGGCATGGAAACACACAACTTTGATCCCAGCACTTAGGAGGCAGAAGCAGGAAAATCACTATGAGCTAGAGATGAGCCTGGTCTATGTATAGAGTTTGAAACCAGCCACGTTACATAGTAAAAGTCTGTCTCGAAAAACAAAAAGCAAGCAAGCAAACAAACAAACAAAAAACCCTCAGCTTTAAAAGAACTGGCTACGGGCTGGAGAGATGGCTGAGGATAAGAGCACTGACAGCTCATCCACAGGTACTGATTCAATTCCCAGCAACCATATGGTGGCTCACAACCAGCTATAATGAGATTTGGTGCCCTCTTCTGGCATGCAGGTAGAACACTGTATATATAATTAATAGATAGGCAGACAGATCTTTAGAAAAGGAAAATAAAAAAAGAACTGGCTACTTTTCCAAAACCAAAGGTTCAATTCCAAACACACACATGGCAGCTCACAACTGTCTGCAGCTCCAGTTCCAGGTGATATGGTGCCCTTTTCTGGCCTCTTTAGGCACCAGGCAAGCACGTGGTACACAAACACACATGTAGGCAAAACATTCAAGCATATAAAATAAAAATAAAAAGTAAAATCAAATACTCAAATGTAAAACTTGACAGTCTGACTTATCAAACTGGTCTTCTTACCTTTTTTTTGAGCTACTGAGTTTCCTGGTTCTGTACTTCTTCCATTCTTCTTATTCCTAAAAAATTTCTCAAACCCTTAGGGGAAAAATGGAGAGGTTGTAGTATGTTTAAAAGGAAAACTCACGCGCGGCGCACGCGCGCGCGCATTCAGAAAAGCAGCACTGCAGTCAAATCCGGCTGCGAAAGTAAGAAAGCTAGCCCTCCTTCCTGCCTTCTTCTTACCTGATCAGAGCGACATGCAGCCCCAGGCCCAAACCCACATATGGGATAAGGAATATTTCTTCTGCTCTCTGGAGACAGAGGTCTCCAAATGCTTCTATGCATAGGGTCCCTCTGCTGAGAACACTAAGCACAGGTCCACGGCTTGCTCTGGAGGGCTCCAAGTAGACCACTGTGTTCCCCGTAACTACTCTACCAAACCTAAAGCTGGATCCCCAGAATCAACTACGCAGAAACAAAACTGAATTCCCATGCCTCCCGAAAGATTCTTCTAGTAATATCCTTCTGAGACAGTTTCTGCTGCTGGTGTCAACAATGCATCAAAGTGATAAAGGCTCTGAGGTGCTACTGTATGATGCAAGATGGAACCTGCTAGCTGTCATGTCCTCCTGTCACCTGCTCAGTCACCTGGGAGACACCCGAGCAAATTACACTAGTGAAGGCAGAAGGTATAAGAAGTACCGTACCTTTGGGAGGTTCTGAACACAGTCTTGGGGAGAACCAAGTCAGTCTTCCCTGCAGAGCCTGCAGCGAGCATATCCCCTGAGGACGACAGGAGAGCCAATCAGGCTGTTTCTGCAATGCAACACAGCATCTTCTCAAAGTGGCCAGGACAGCAGGTGAGGGACAGAATGTGGACCGAGGCATGGGCCTGTTACTTTATTTACCTACTTAGCTATTCAAACAGAATAAACATAAACTAAACTCGCTGTAAAACTCACAAAGAATTGTTTTATAGCTATCATATCTAGACAGGCAGTGGTGGCGCACGCCTTTAATCCTAGCACTCAGGAGTCAGAGGCAGGCGGATGTATGAGTTTGAGGCAAGTCTGATCGACAGAGTTGAGTTCCAGTACAGCCAGGACTACACAGAGAAACCCTGCCTAAAACAAACAAAAAAGGACGTGTGGCTTTGTTAGGAGAGGTGAGTCACTACGGGCAAGATTTGAGGTTTCAAAAGACTTGTGCTATTCCCAGTGTCCTTTCTGCCTCCCGCTTTCAGCTTTAGTATGTGAACGCTCTAAGGAGAACACTCCTCCACTGCTGGTGGGAGTGCAAACTTGAACAGCCACGCTGGAAATCAGTATGGCAGTTTCTCAGAAAACTGGGAATCAACCTACCTCAAGACCCAGCAATACCACTCTTGGGCATATACCTAAAGGATGCACAATTATACCACAGGGACATCTGCTCAACTATGTTAATAGCAGCAGAACCTGTAATAGCAGAACCTGAAAGCAACCTAGATGCCCATCAACTGAAGAATGGTTAAAGAAAATGTGGTACACTTACACAATGGAGTACTACTCAGTAGCAAAAAAAACAATGACATCTTGAAATTTGCAGGCAAATGGATGGAACTAGAAATAACTATCCTGAGTGAGGTACCCCAGACCCAGGAAGACAAACACAGTATGTGTTCACCTATACGTGGATACCAGATGCAAAGCAAAGGATAATCAGGCTACAGTCCACAACCCCAGAGAGGCTAGGTAAAAAGGGGGGCCCTAGAGGGATGCACACGGAGGGCCCCAGGAAGGGAAAATAGTAAACTGGGGGGGGGGGGTAGAAGAGAGGGGATGGGAATGGGAACATGAAGGATCAAGAAGACTGAGCTGGGAAAGGGATGGAGGGGGAGAACAATAAAAGAGATATCTTGATAGAGGGAGCCATCATGGGGTTAGAGAAAAACCTAGTGCTAGAGAAATTCTCAGGAATTTCTAAGATGCCTAGCAATAGTGGAGAGGGTATCTGAAAGGGCCTTCCTCCTTTAATCAGAGACTACCCTAATTGTCATCATAGAAACAGCATCCAGTAACTGATGGAAGCAGATGCAGTGACCCACAGCCAAGCACTGGGCTGAGCTCCTGAGTTCAGCTGAGGAGAGGGAGGAGGGATCATATGAACGGGGTGACAGGGAGCGACCACGAAGGGAAAAACCACAGAAACAGCTGACCCGAGTTAGTGGGAGCTCACGGACCGAACTGATAGCTGGGGAACCTGTGTGGGACCAAACTAGACCCTTTGAATGTGGGTGAGTTATGTGACTTGATCTGTTGGAGGGTCCCCTGGTAGTGGCACCAGGACCTATCCCAGGGGCAAGAACTGGCTTTTTGGAGCCCATTCCCTATGGTGGGATACAAGGGGAACAGTTTGGTCCTGCCTCAACCTCATACACCAGACTTTGTTGACTCCCCAAGGAAGTCCTTACCCCCTATGAGTGGAGGGGTGTGTGAAGGAGGGAGGTGGAGGGGCGCAAGAGAAAGGGAGAGAGGGGGAACTAGGGTTGATACATAAAATGAACAATAAGGGGCTGGAGAGATGGCTTAGAGGTTAAGAGCATTGCCTGCTCTTCCAAAGGTCCTGAGTTCAATTCCCGGCAACCACATGGTGGCTCACAACCATCTGTAATGGGGTCTGGTGCCCTCTTCTGCCCTGCAGGTATTATACACAGAATAAATAAATTTAATAANAAGGTCCTGAGTTCAATTCCCGGCAACCACATGGTGGCTCACAACCATCTGTAATGGGGTCTGGTGCCCTCTTCTGCCCTGCAGGTATTATACACAGAATAAATAAATTTTAAAAAAAATAATAAAAAAATGAACAATAAATTTTTTAAATTAAAAAAAAAAAGATGTGAACTCTCGGCTGTTCCTGCCACCATCACTTGCTCTGCCCTCACGGACCCTAACCCTCTGAAAACAGACACTTTCTTCTGTTAGGGCGCCTTGGCCATGGTGCTTTATCACAGCACAGAAACCTAACAGAGACAGAAGTCGGTAGCAGAAAGTGAGCTACTGCCATGACAGACCTGACTGTGTGGTTGTTTTGCTTGTTTTGGTTTGTTGTTGTTTTTGAGGAACTTAGAAGACTTTGGTACCTTGGACTAGAAAAGCGGTTGAAGGTTTTAAGCAGAATTTAAAGGGCCATCCTAGTAGGCATCTGGAAGACTGAGGTACTGAAAGTGGAGGCAGAGCTCAAGAGGCTTCAGAGGGAAGGAAGGCCTTTAACAGCCCCTGGGCTGGAGGCAGGCTTGTGATACCTTGGCCAAGAATATGGCCACCTTCTGCTGGGAAGAAGCAGAGCCATCTAAGCTGCCTAGAAGACTCTCAGACAGCTGAGAGCCTGGAAGCAGCTCAGACCAACCGAGCCAGTAGAAATGGACATGCTTCAACCTGTTGAACTACCTGAAACTTGTGCAGTCTGCTAGAGGTTCCCAGTTCTTGTGAGCTGCCTCCCATGCCTGGGTGGCCATTGGTGATGGGTCTGTCTCTGAGTCATTTCTGTTCCTGGTTCACCAAGCTGGACTTCATGATACCCACAGCCTGGTCTGTTGTCAGTTCCCTGTCTGTTCACACCGCCTAGAAGTGTCACACATCACTTTGGTCTGTTGCCAGGGATCTATCGAGGGCGAACTGACATTTATTCACCCATGAAAAGTGACACAATCAGTTTACGTCTTTCACAAAGACACATGGGTCCACAGCCGTTCAGCGACTGTCTGTGCTATAACAATCTACAACACTCACTAAATGACTGGTCTTCAACAGGCCAATCACCAGAACAGGACCCGCAACACAGAACACAAAACAATTCTGCAACTGAAACAAACCTGGGAGCATTCTGCCAATCCATTTGTGCAGCCATTTCCTCCAAACCCAAAAAGTCGATCCTGGAGGAAGGAGGGTAGCCCTTAAAACTCCTGTGCTCAGGAAATGATCAGGTTCACAAGGCCCATCCCGAGTTAGACAGGCAGTAAACAGCTCCTGGGGACACGAGCCGCTCTTCGGTGGTACCCCCTGTAGGTTTTGCAGGGAGCTCCAGGAAGGCAGTTTTCCCCTATGTGTGTGACTGACTCACTCCTATCAGTAACTCTTTCCCAGGCCCCCCGTGATTAATTCCAATAAACTAACTGGTTCACAAAGCTAGAGAAATGGAATCATTTCTTTGACCTGTCACGAGTGCCCTGTCTGGGATAAATGGCCAGTTACATTTAAAAGTTACACAACACTACTACCATATTAAGAGGGAACGACAGTCCTGGACAGCTAGGGTTGTTTTCTTGGTTTCGGAAAACCAAGAAAGAAAAAGGAAGGAACAGAAGCAAAGTCGAGTTAAGGAAGAACAGCTGTATGGTCCCTGGACGAGTGATAACACAGACTGATCTATCTGGAGATGGAGAATAGATATATAGCTACCTTTCTCCATGAGGTATGGCATAGTGAGCCTCCTTACTGTACTAGCAGATGCACACTCTATGTGATGGGTGTTGAAATATTGTAACAAGGCTGAACTAAGACTGAAGCATCCACGGCAGGGATTCCCATGTGGCTATACTCCTCTGCTTAGTATTAAGAGCTACGCCTCTTTAATGAATAAAGTCTACCTTTTATATGGGAACCATCTCCCAAAAACATAACTAAAAGATATTGCTAACCCTAAAATGCTAGGATCAGCTGAAGGTAGACACTGGAGGAGCCTGCAGCGGAAATCCGGAAGCGGCTGCGCCCCACCGAGCCGCAGGCGGATGACGTCACTGCGACGTCCAGCGGAGCCCCCACCACGCCGCCTGAAACCTGTGGAGGGCGCTTCCCCGCTCACCTGCCGAGCAATGCCACCGACCCTCACGCTGCTCCAGACCGCCCCGCCGCTTCCTGCGCAGCCACCACAGCGCCACAACTTGGAGAAAGGCCAGGCCAGGGCCCGACTGCCGGCCGCCCCCACCAGCCGGAGTAACATCCCCCTTCCGTGACCTCGCGCCGCCTAGGCGGGCGCACGCGCAGCACGCGGGTCATAGTGCGCCACGCCCCTGTGCGCGCGTGCGCAGCAGGCCACAGTCGTGGCTCGGACCCTCTTTTTTAGGTGTCCAGTTCGCAGCCGTAGTTTATAAGATTTTGATCCGGAGTGTCGCTTTACGCTGCCCGATGGCTGATGACAGGTGACCCGCAGCCAATTTGACCTAGGCACCAAAAGCATTTAAGCCTATTTTAAATTTGGTATTGACAGTGACAACAATGGTGTGGGCGGGTTCTCGGCGTGAAGCGACACATGGAACTGAAAAACTCTTTAAGAGTCTACTTTTCCTTCCGAGGGGTTACAGTTTAGAGGTGTTCCCCGGTATTTTGCCTCCAGTCTAGACCTCTCGTGAACAAAGAAACTGGTACACCTCTTGCCTCATCATCTCCCCACCGCAGACCTTTGTTTAGTTTTGATTGGTTAGCTGGTTGGTATAGGCAACCAGGTCAGTTTTCATTTGCCTGCAGTTCTGCTGTCCAGAAATTTGGGCTTGACACTAGGGACACATCAGGCCTTCCTGGGAGTACAGAATGAACCAGCTTCTGGACAGTAGCGTTAGACAATGCCTGTTATGGTCCTTCGTGCACCCGCGTTCTCCAGCGTACAGTTAACAACATTCTGAAAGCACTGAGGCGTCAAAGGTAGCAATGCCTGGGGCAAGGCCCCTGGATGCCATTGTCACCCGTGGTGCCAAAAGGAAAGGAAGCAATTATCCTCGACATCAAATTACAAGTGATAAAATTTAAAGTGGGTGAAAAACTTAGTCAAATCACAAAAACCTTAGACCTCTGTGTATCTACAATAGTAATCACCCAAGATAATAAAAACTAAAGGTAAGTTCACAAATAGTTAACCCGGGGAGCTTCTCTGTTGACATGCTGTTTGAAGTACCCAATGGCCAACATGGAGCAGTTGTTGGGCATGTAGTTCAAAGACCAAAGCCAACAAAATTATCAGCACCATCCAGGCAAAAGCTAAACATGGGATGACTTTCCAGCATAAATAAGGAGAAAGTTCTCAAATGGTAGTCTGTGGAATTCAAGGAACTGATAAACATAATCCACATGACAGGGACATGTGGCCCACAGGGCTGAAAAGTACCATTGAGGGAGGTAAATTCAGCACAGGCAAGTTTTGTTGTTAGTTCCGTTTGGTTTTTGTTTGTTTGGTTGTTTTGGTTTGATTTGGTTTTTCTGTTCAGGATTACTCTGTGTGACCCTGACTGTCCTGGAACCTGCTCTGTAGGCCAGGTTGGTCTCAGACTCACAGAGATCTGCCTGCCTCTGCCTCCCCAGGCCTGGGATTAAAGCCTTTTGTCACCACCACCCAGCCAGGCAAGTTTTCAGTATAGGTGAACTGGGAGAGAATGCCTGAAAAAACATAGCCAAAGATCCCTTCATGCTGTTGCTTGAAGGAGATGCAGCCAGGACTGTTAAGTTGAAGTTCTTACTAGTGCCATGCTTGGAAACCCCCAGGGATCTTTGTGATTTGAGAACACTCTGGTCTACACAGCCAATTTCAAGCCAGCCAGAGCTACATTATCAGGCCCAAGGATTTCTTCCAAGTGTCTCTGCTGCCTATGGTGACATCATTTACTTTTTGTAGTAAGATGGCTTAGTCAAGACCAAATATTGGAAAGATTTTTATGACTTGTATTATGTTATAAAGTAGTTTATGATATCAAAAACGGGCTAGAGAGATAGCTCAGAGGTTAAAAGCATTAACTGCTCTTTCAGAGGTCCTGAGTTCAATTCCCAGCAACCACATGGTAGTTTACAACCATCTGTAATGAGATCTGGTGCCATCTTCTGGTGTTCAATATGTGCAGGGCGTATACATAATAAATAAATAAAATCATTAGGGGCTGGAGAGATGGCTCAGTGGTTAAGAGCATTGCCTGTTCTTCCAAAGGTCCTGAGTTCAATTCCCTGCAACCACATGGTGGCTCACAACCATCTGTAATGAGGTCTGGTGCCCTCTTCTGGCTTGCAGACATATACACAGACAGAATATTGTATACATAATAAATAAATATTTAAAAAAATTATCCAAAAAAAATAAAATTAAAAAATAAATAAATGGAAAATGGCATGGCAGTACAATCATTATATGGAGAAGAATTTCTGATTATAATACATGCAGTGAAGAAAATAAAACCAACACAGAAAGTGGCTTTAGGACAAGTTGAGGGGTGAGAACTAGTTTAACATGATATTCAGAAAGGCCACTAAATAAAAAACAAAAATTGATATCAAAAACAAAATTGAGGGAGCTGTGGAGATAGCACAGCAGTTGAGAGCACTGTCAAGGACCTAGATGTGATTCTCAGCACCCACATGACAGCTCGCAAGCATCTATAACCCTAGTTCAAGGCGACCTGATGCCCTCTTCTGACCTCTGTAGGGACCAGGCATAACCATGGTGCATATACATACACGCAGGCAACATACTCAAACACAAAATTTTAAAATGTAATTTTTAAAAACTTGCCAGATGTGGCAATGCATATCTTTAATCCAACTCTCAGGAGGCAGGGGCATGTGGATCTCTGAATTAGAGGCCATCTTGTTCTACATAGCAAGTTCCAGGACAGCCAGGCCTATGTAGTCCCTGTCTCAAAAAAAAAAAAAANGGTTGGACCAGAGAGAGTCTGCTCTCACTCCATCACACAGAAACTCTTCTAGGCTATATGGTACCAAAAGAAGGGAGTGGGATGGGGTGCTTTATGACACTTGATCCTTGAAATAGCAACAATTACCATGTGATCGCTCGAGGATGACGCAGTGCTTGTAACAGGATCCAGAGAGAGAGAGAGAGAGAGAGAGAGAGAGAGAGAGAGAGAGAGAGAGAGAGAGAGAGAGAGAGAGAATGTGTATGTGTGTGTATACATGTATACACAGAAAGAATGTGTATGTGTGTGTGTGTGTGTGTGTGTATATTCTCTATCACAGGGCTGTTATATAGAGAAACCCTTTCTCAAAAAAAAAAAACCCACAAAACTGACAGTGTAATATTTTCAGCGGATTTGGCTGTTCATTCAAATGAGTTAAACATGTGTCTTCAAGGTGAAATCTGATTATCAGTACAATGTTTCAACCATAGCAGTATTCTAAATGAAATGGTAGGATAAGTTAAGGCACACCATTTAATGGATTTCTATACACCGTCTAAGCATAGTCCTATTTTTAAATAGCAGAAATATTTAGCCTTGTTTTTCAATCTGATACATGAATTTGAAAAAAGATTTCAAGATTTCTGGGCAGAGAATATTTTGTCATATTTACAGCTCCATTTTCAATTGACATAAACAGGTTACCTGCCATTTTGTTTTTATTCTTCGTGTGGATGAGTGCGGAGGTTGGAAGACAACCTGTGGGAGTCAGTTGTCCCCTAGCGTTTCGAGGGATGGAACTCAGGTGGTCAGCCTTGGCAGAAAGAACCCTCACCCACTGAGTCATCATGCCAACCAGGGCCCTACTAATTTTCAAGTGGAATCTTCCCAGGAACAAATGCCCTAGGCGTCACAATCGTGCCTTATTCATGCCATTGCTTGAGCATGAATCTGTGAACAACTATTTTCAGGGACGAAACAGTAAAATTAGGACCAAGCATCTGACATTTCAGAACACACATAATTTCAACTCGTTCCACTGAACAAGACACCTTGCGTTTATTATTTGCCGAGGTAGAGGTGGGTGCACATTGCACCTGGGCATGCACTGGTGACCAAAGGATGACTATCAGGAGTCAGCTCTCCCTTTTCAACATGTGATCCCAGGCACTGAATGCAGGTCACCAAGCTCAGCAGTGAGCACCCTTACCTTCTGAGTCACCTCACTGGCATTCAGACCAGATATTGATGAGCTGATTTATCAAATACAATGTAAAATATATAACTAGTTTCATGTGTCCTTCTCTTACATTTTTTTAAGTTTATATTTGTTTTTTAAATGTATGTATTTTTTAAGTATGATTGCTTGCTCCGCATGTGTGCCTGCATGCATCAGAGCCCCTTATAGATTGTTGTGAGCCACCATGTGGTTGCTGGGAATTGAACTCAAGACCTCTAAAAAAGCAGCCAGTGCTCCTAACTGTTGAGCCATCTCACCAGCCTGCCTCTTACATTTATTATAAAAAAAATTAACCAATGAAGTTCCACTACCTAGATACGTTCATTTATCAGTGATCACATATTTGGGACCTGCTCAATTATTTTAAGACTTTCCCAAATGAGCTCCACATTTCACTAGTATTTGTAGATTTAATATGTGATCCAAGGCAGCTCTTCATCCAGTGTGTCCCAGGGAAGTCAAAAGGTTGGATACCTTTGTACAAAAACATCAGCTCATAAACGCAGACAAAATCAATCACCATTTCACAATTATTATACTCAGGCAAGAATGGTTGTGGATGCTAGGTTGGTAGAAGTTACAGTAAGAACTAGACAGTTTCATAGTCTCAAAGTATCTCCACATTCAACACCAAGGACAAAGAGATAAACAGTAATCTTAATGGAGAAACCTGACCTACATGTGTAATGGTTTGAATATGAAGAGCTCCCCACAAGTTCACGTGTTAAACACTCGGTCTCAGGTGGTGATGCTGTTTCTGAAAGTGGTGGGAACTTGAGGAACTGGAGCCTAGCAGATGGAAGCAGGTCGTCAAGGGCGTGCTTTTGAAGGTCTGTGGTCCCAGGTCCTTTCCTGGCTCTCTGCCATAAGATAAACAGCTTCTTCCCATTCTCCCCCATCACAGTGTTTTCCCTCACCATCGGCCCAGAATCAGTGGAGTCAAGGACTGTGGGCTGAATCTGTTGACACCATGAGCCGAAATCAGGCCTCCTTTTAAGTTCCTGGGGTTTTTGTTTGTTTTGTTTAGTTTGGTGTTTTGTTTTTGAGACAAGGTTTCTCTGTGTAGTTGTGGTTGTCCCTGGACTCACTAAGTACACCATGAACTCAGAGATCCACCTGTCTCTGCCTCTCAAGTGTTGG